TGTTCCTATTTGAACCTATCCCATTTAACTTTTCCTATGAACAATCGTGGAAACTTGAACGTTGAATTCTTGAAGACGAAACCTCTAATCATTATCGAGAGTTTTCTAAGGTGACTTTGGTTGTCTAAGATGTAATTAACTATAGGGGTTTGCTCCTATAGGGAATTTAAGAACCCAGATTAATCTAAACTCTATCTAATCTGTGTATAAGATAGGGGAATTTATCGGCTGTAAATTTTGTAGATCAAAATAGAATCATAAACTTTTAAGTTTAGATAGTTAAGTCTACTAATAAGTGATGCGTTCATTCTCCGAGATGATATATCATTTATGATATTGTGCTCAGCTATTTAGACTATTAGATATATGAGATCTATTCGGTCTCATCATTTTTCAAAAAAAATAATAATAAATGATACCATTTTCACAAAATTAAAATTACATTATATATATATTAAATTCTAATTTCAAAATTTTAAAATCTTATTTTTGAAAGAAAAATAGCCGACAGTGTGCACATCTTTTTATCTATATAATATGTAATTGTGTCTCTATGATGCATGTTTGTCATACATTCCAGTTTTAAAAGACTAGAAAAATCCTAATTTCTTTTCAATCGTTATCATCTCCATGTCTATCCCAGAATTCTCGAAGCCTACAAACCGATAGTTTCTTCTCAACGCATGTTCTCATACATAGTATGAAGCTTGCCTTGTTCTTCAAATATTTTTAACAATCTCAGGCATCATTCCGTAATTTAACTTAATTTTAAATACTTATCATGAATTGTCTGTGCAAACTTCTCCATGTACTTGATGTATGTACGTGCGAACCTATGTAGGTATGCATTATGTGCACATGTGCATATTTTCAGCATCGGTGTATATCATGGTTTCCAAAAACTTAGGGTTCGTTTGGCGCAATTTTTTCTGCGTGGTGCGGCGGGAGGCCACAATTCAGGATCGTTTGGCGCGACTATCTACTCGCGGCTACCACAAATTTGAGGGAAAATCCGGCCGCAGGTTAGACCCCGCGTCCCGCAGTATCGCTCTGACATTTTACTCCCCTACCCCTCCTCCATTAGATCCCGCCTTCGCCTGCTCCGCCAAGTGCGAGCTTCCTCTGTCAATCGGAAGACTTCTCTCGTTCTCAATGCCGATTGGAACGAAGACACTGAGGAGGGGCTCCAATCTATCTAGTCTGCCTACGTCGCCGCTAAGAGGAGTCCTAATCTAATCGTCGTCGCCTCCCTAGCTGGGTAAGCATAGCTTATCCTTTTGGCTGCGTTGAAAATGGCAATCTCATTAGCAAGCTTGATCGGTCCCCTTGCCATAGGAATCTACTATGTAATTTCTCTCTGATACCTTGCAAGGTTCATATCTTCCTCTCAAATGTTATTCCTTCTATATGCTTTGAATATATTTTCGAAGTTGTAATTTCTACTAACAGGAAGTTAGGTTGAATCTTCATTTTTCAGAATATTATTGCTTTCCTGTTTCTTAAGTGAAATTAATATTCACATTTTACTGTCTTGTTCAAAATCGATATTCTTGTTTTCCTCTGTATTTGACGCTCAAAGCTTGCTACCAAAACAGCTCCATAAAACCTTGCTAAAACCTTCACTCTTCTTCTCAAAATTTTCATATCATACTACCCTTGAAGAGTTAAATGCATGCCGACAGTTCTTAAGTTCTTACATATGTGACGACAAATTTTTTAAAGTTTATATACATACCATTCAATGTTTAAATATTCATGTATAGAATACTTAACTTTAAGAAGTAATTGTGTGTTCTTAGATTATTACATATTCATATGTGATACATATGATTTCTAATACATTCTTACTATTGAAATCTTAATATACACATATAAAATCTACATTTTAAAAGGAAACTACAGATTCTTTAATTCTTCGAGTATTTACATATCTAACATCTGAATTTTAAAAGAAAAGCTACAGATCTTTTAACTCCTATGTGTTTACATGACTAACATTTTAAATCCTCTAGTGTTTACATATCTAACACCAGGTTTGAATGTGAAGTTATTGATCTTTTAAATCATTAAATGAATGTGTATTTAGATGTATAGCAATGAAAATTTACTGAATAGTTTCAATTTTTTTGTAATTTGGATGTATTTACATATACATATATATATATATATATGTACATATATATACGTATATACATATATATATGTATATATATATATATACGTACATGTATATATATACGTACATGTATATATATACGTACATGTATATATATACGTACATGTATATATATACGTACATGTATATATATACGTACATGTATATATATACGTACATGTATAATGATGTCATTTGTTTCAAACTTCCTATGATAATACTTATTGCGTTTACAATCTTACCTATCAGTAGAAGTATGTTAGATGACTTGATGGAGTAGAGTGCTTTTTCCGTGCTCTAATAGCATAAAGCAAAGGCTCGTCTCTAGTAGAAAGGAAGTTTCTTTTAAAAGTCTATTGATCCATCTGCTTTTATTAAGTGAAGAATGAATTTAGGCGGTGATTGGGATTTGTTCTGTTTTGAAATAAATTTTTGCTTCTGAAGTATCAAATATGTGATTGTCACAGTTTTGTTTAAAAAATTTTACTAAACATGGGCAAAATTGTCATTTTTCCAGAAACACTTGTCCCACAGCTGTTTTCACACAGCTGCAACAAACAGACAACCAGCTTCAACTTTCCCGCAGCAGATTCCTAGGGCAGCGCAACTGCAGCTGAGAAACTGCAGTTGCGCCAAACAGAGTCTTAGCATTCCCTCGTATCCTTTCCATCCCTCATCTAGAACCTGAAATCCGTTCTAAAATCATGACCTTTCTGAAGTTGCATACTATTAGTTATTACAGTTTACAGGGTCCAGGCTGTAGACCCCTCTTAATAAACAGTTAAACCAACACATTAATCAACTGACACTGACGCTGAAAACCCAAGTTAAAGAAAATTTCACAAAGCCTATTTTGCTATACATACATTATCCAGAAGCTTGTGGGTCATATCATTAGGGCTATAAAAAAATTTCGTTCTCGTTTTAGCTCGAAATAAGGAAATTATTTATCTTATTTATATAATAATAAATTATATATATTTATATCTAAGTTTAGATCACCATAGCTCATGTGGTCATGTGATTTTGCTCTTTGCATAAGAATGGTGCAGATTTGAATAAAGCACTCTACATATATTTTTCTAATTAATTTTAAACAAGCCAATTTGAGCCTAACAAGAGCTGAAAAAGAAAACAAATTTTTTTCGAGCTGAAAATAAACAATCTATTCACGAGTCATTTTGAACGCGAGCCAATTTTGAAAAAAATGAGTCAAAAATGAACACATGCTCTTGTTCAAGCACGGCTCGTTTACACTCTAGCATATCATTACTGGATTCCAAATATAGCAATCCACAAAGAGAGCAAACATAATAACAAAATTTACACGAGTTTCTTTTAAATTCATGTGAACCCTAGCGAAAGCAACAAAAATAATTTAAACATATGTGAGATCCAGCACTCAACTTGGATGCAGACACAACACACACTAAATAAGAGAAGTTGCATTAGCCTTAATTATTCTAGTAAATAAATTATTAGGGGTTATCAATTGAAGTTTGAGCAAGCCAAGCTTAACTCAATGTTGAAAGATATTGATTGCTTGTGTTAATGTAAATGTTTGTGGGAGAACATATACTTGTGTATATATCAAGTTTAATTTGAATTGAGCAAATTAATTTCAAACTAGTAGTTTTGAATCAAAGCAAATCAATTATGATTTAAAGTCAATTAAAATCTGAGCATGCTTAAAATTTTGGATATAATTATCAGCCCTACTTATGTTATTATACATGATGAATGGAAACAACGTTGAAACGCAAATATTAAAACACTATTTGATACTTTGGTAAGCCAACTCACTTCAATTGAAAAAGCACAAAATAAATACCACTATGTCAGTCCTCATCGGATCCAGCTTTCTGCTTCTTCCATTTGTAAGCAGCTTCAAGTATCTTAAGATTGGGTGCCATTGCCACCTCATCAGGGAAAATGTAATCAATGTATTCTTCATATCTGCACAAATAACTAGGGTTAAATTCTAACATAAAAAACTTATTTTATGCAAGTAAAAATACAAAGCAAATCAATTAAATATAAAAAACCAAATTATTTAAAGCAGACAAATGAACTACCCAGCAGGAGCTCCATCTTCAGATGAAATAGCTCGCTTTCTCTTGACTTTCCTAGGTAATTTCTTCTGCACCAAAGATAGGTCTCCAAGATCTGCAAAACCAGTTTCCGTATTCAACCATTCCTCCAAAAGCATTGCCCTTTCCTCCTTCATTTCAGGTGCAGATGTGCGGAAGTAATCAAATGCCCTTTCAAAAACACCTGGCAAAAAGAAATGTTGTGGCCGAGGTAAAACACTTAATTTGTAGTAAGGAAAACAAAAAAGCTCTTAATATACCTCTGCATCTTTGAATCCGTTCTTTTTGCTGTTCTTGATATGATATATCACCATTCTCAAGTTGTGGCTTGCCATCTCTATCTGAACCATCTAAACCAGCAGAGGCCTCAAATTTGGCATAACTTATCCACACCTTCAAGTGCTTTGTTCTATCAAGCAGTCTTTCATAGAGTTGTCTCGTCCTCTCAAACTCGCTCTCTGATATTTCGAAGTCTATGTATGCCTGAGATGCATGGCAAATTAGTTACGCCATTGAAAGAATGAAGATCCTCTTACTTGAAGCTTAAGCATGCATTTGAAGTTTTGCAACAAAACTTAGCATTCCATTCTAATAATATATGCTCAGGGTGTATCCTATATTGATGTGAGAGAATTATGAAAGGATGATTAATATATGCTCATTTATATAGCCAAATAGCACACAAAAAAATTAAAAAGGATGATTAAAATTTCATACAGAACGACCACCTATCATAATTCAAAGCATAGTGAATTGGTAAAAACCTACAAAATCAGTACTACACATCACATAGCCCACAACACAAAAAAGTCTCAATAGCACAAAAGGCTATATGAAAGTAAGAAAATAAATGACACTCTAATTTTTTAAAAGGCTAGAATGCAAGAAGCATAAATTGGATGAGGAGACGATCACATTGCAATATAAATACCTTCCATAACAGCTCAGGCATGTCAAGTGTCGGTTGGGCAATAGCTAGTTCAAATATGCCACGGGCGCGTTCCATTTCACTTAATGACCTTTCTAGCTCAGCATACTTGCTCCAAGCATAGCAATTTGCAGGAGCCCACTCGAGATATTTCTCATAGAGTGTTCTGCAGCGATCTATATTACCAAGTTGCAGCTCTATCTCTATGTATTTTTTAAATATCTGCCATAGCAAATTTTAAGAACTACTTTAATATAACATGAACACACATTCTTTCAAGATATGCAGCATTGCATGTCACAGAAAAACAATTAACCTTATCCTTGGGAGCCATTCCGATAGCATTGCCCAAGATCTGCCGTGCAGCCTTGAGACTTTTCTGGCGTATCTCAAACTGGGCCGCTAGAAGCCATATTTTAGCAAATGAAAACTTCTTGTGGGGAATCAATTTAATGCATTCCCTGTATCAATAAATTCAAGGTGAAAAGAGAAATTTTAGGTCATAGAAGCGAAATAACAATCAAGAACTTAAAATCGTTATGAATAAGAAAAACAGCAGCTCTAAAGAATTTATACAACACATTAGAGAATAGTTTCCTGAATTCAAATATTGCAAGGGAGATAAAAGCAACTAAAAACATATCAGACAGTGTTGGACAGTAGTAAAACAACGTTAGATGAATTCAGCTCATAATAAGAGATAAATGAAATGATTTCTAATGAACATCACATATTCTACCTGTAAACTTCCCTTGTCCTGTCAATGTCCTCAGCACCAAGTTCCTCATACAAAGCATAATTAATCCTACATGTCAAACATGAATTGAATCAATATTAATGCATGGCTATGTTTTCATTTCCGGGGTAAAAAAGGAGCAAAACTGTAATTATGAGCTGTAATTTGATTTCTACCATAAATAGATATAACGCTGCCAATATCTCTTCTCCTCAGCTGGAGGCACATTAGAAATTGACCGTTCATAAACTTCCCTGATCATGTCCTTATTGCCAACATTCTCTTCCAACCTAATATAGTCAAACCATGAATCATAATTCAATGGGCTCTTCCTAACCTCATCCTCATACTGGAATCTTCTTTTCCCCACAATTGCATCCTCTATCCCCTCCCGATCTCCATACTGCTTCTCAAACGCTACATACTTCTTATACAGCTCCTCAGCCCTTCCCTTGGGAATATGGTCCAGTGCAAACTTATAAATGCACCTTGCCCTGTCAATCTCCTTGCACTTCTCCTCAAACTCTGAAAAAGCCACAAAAAGCTCCTCTGCCTCATCCTCCTCGCCTGACAGGAGATCAACTGCACGCTCATAGACAGCACGAGCTCGAGCAATTTCACCGTTCTTCATCTCGAACTTAGCATACCGAATCCATGCAGTGGCACGAGGGTGGCACGCAACAAATCTCTCAAAAACATGGCGAGCACGATCTATCTCACCATACCTGAGTTCAAACTTGATGTAAGAAAGCCATCCTTCCCGATCTGGCTGCCAGTCCATCCACCTCTCAAACACCTGGCGAGCGCCAGCCACATTACCGAGCATCTCCTCCATGTGGATATACTTGTACCAGAGCTGGTCCACTCGAGGAAGAAGGGAAACTGCACGGTCCCAGACATTGCGCGCGTGGTTGACGAAGCGATTCCGCATCTCGAATTCCGCATACTTGAGCCAGATAGTCCGCTCCCGGTAGTCGACCTCCAGACATCGCTCCCAAACGGAGCGAGCGCGGGCGAAATCCTTCTGGTTCTCCTCCCATTCTGCGTATTTGACCCAGACGCGGGTGTTCCATCGCGCACGGCGGATTTTGTCCTCGAATTCCTTTCGGCGGCGAAGGCGGTAATCACCAAGTTCGGTAGGATCGGTAATCTTTTGCTTCGGCGGGCGAATCTCAGGTTCCTGTCGCTCGCGGGCCTCTCGTAGGATTTGCTCAGCAGTGATCTGAATCGAAGCAGGGGTTTTGTTCTTGACGCGAGTGGGGCGGGGGAGCTTCACCTCGGTGTCGCGCTTCGTCAGAAAACCAAGATTGGGGTCAGCGTCTTTAGCGGCCGACGCCATTGTTGGAAAATCAGCGGAAGTAAACCGTGGAGCAGTAGGTAGAAGGGTAGACTGGACGACGACCTAGCGGCTGTCTGCTAACGGATTTAGAGCAGAATTTAACCTAACCTGGATTTGACCTAAATCCTGCAAGGCGGTAAGTTTGGACAAAATAAAGCAGCGGATTTCATAAATCACGGATTTTACAGCTTTGGTCGTAAATCCCTAATTTACTAAATCCTGCGATCCGGTAGGAGCAGTGCGGAAGGAGTAGAAAGATGGGAGGGAGGGGAGATTCGGGTCTCAGTTCGTCGGGATCCCGCCGTTGCCTTCAAAGTCAGCTCTAATTGCGACTGTATGACAAGGGTTTGGTCATGAAGGCGATGGTCCTGGGCGAAACCGGGAGAGGTCTAAGGACGCCGGCGAGGGTTCTGGGGTACTAGCGGGAAAGGATCTTTGGCGGAACCGGGAGAATGGGAGCAATGTAGGCAAGCGCGAGGGTTTAGGGCAGCGAGGGAAAGCCAACGCTCTGATCGTGATTGTATTGTGAGGGTTCATTCACTAAGGCCATGGTTTTGGGCACACAGGACAGGGTAAGGGGGAGATGGATTTATGATTTTAATTTATTTTTGTTTTATTTAAGTTAATTGTTTTAATTGATTAATAATTAATTTTAAATTAATATATTATCAAATTAATTATAGTGAGATAATTTTTTATTTAATTATTTATTAATTATTTAATAAGAAACATTTTAAAATTTTTGTAATAGTTAATGAGTTTAAAATACATTCTTAATTAATATAACCGCTTAATAAGTAATTAGTTTAATAAAAAAATTTAATAATTAATTATTTTTCTTAAAAATTAATTATTAATTAGTATAGCCATAAATAAATTAGAAATTAAATTAAATTAAATGATTAATTTTTATCCAAATAAATAAAATAATCAAATTTTAGTTATGAGTTCTTATTATAACAAATATAATAAACTTTTAAATCTTGACATAAGGTCCCGTTTTAAAGAATTTAATTGGATTTACTAAATCTGTTACTAACTTAAATCTAATTTATTCTCATACATGCCCTAGGGTTTTATGAGGCTCGCTCGAGGGCAACCAGAGAGAGAACATCAAGTTCCATGATCAATCATTATTTTTTCAAATAACAATAAATATAATATAAAGTTCATTTTATATGGCTCACTATGATATTAATTAAAAAATATCATAATATTTACTTTTTAGAGAAATATATCTTAAAGTTCTTTTAACTTCTTTCAATAAAATTTGATAATTTTTTTAATTAATTAATTAAGGAACAAACATATTTCTAACATGATTCAAACTTATTTTAACAAAGTCAAATACAAGAAACTATAATTTTAATATGCTAAAGTGCAATCATAATTATTAGAAGACAAAAAAAAATAGACTTGATATATTAGTTTGTATTTATAATAAATATAATGCATTTGAATCAATTTTTGATGAAGCAAGATAAAGTCATAATAAACACAATACAAATTAATTATAAATCTGATGCATTAAATTTCAATCACAGCAGTCATAATATCTTAATACATTAAATTGCAATCATACCCTCTATAACACAATAGAATATAATTTTGATATAAAAATAATAAAATAATAAATAGATTAAAAAAAAATAAATGGATAATAAAATAAATATAAATCATTTATAGAACAAAATTAATAGTTAAAAATATTTAAATGTATATATTTGGTTATGGACATTGACCGCATTTTTAATAAAGTTGACATATCATTCCTTATAACACATCTTTAATCTATCAAATTTAGTTTTAATATTAAAAGCCCTTTTATAGTTCTTTTAGAAAAAAACTCTGGAGAGATTTGTTTGTGATTAAACTAAACTCAAAATCAAACCGGTTATTATTTATTATTTTTCGTTAAATTTAAATTTACTCTTAGCTCATTTAAATGAAGTTGAGCTAACAAAAATATGCCATCAAGGAACCAAACATCACTTTAAGACCCAGTGCACCCCTAAGTTAACTTTAGGTCATTGGACCCAATGAACCGAAAAACAAATCAAATTGAATTAAGTTTTGGTTATTAATGAAACCAATGTGTATGGAATAAGAATTGCATAATTTCAAGTTCATTTAGAGATTTGGCTAAATCAAATTAGGTTGAATCACCTAGTAAGACCATTTCAATTTATTAAGAACTAACAAGGCATGAATCTCATTGTAGGATTTCCAAATGAACTTGGATTACTCTAAGGATCATTAGGAACTCGCTTTGATTTTATAAGACCAAATCAAATCTGGCCTAAGCTCAAGTGGTTCCATGACCCATTAATTATCTATTAAGATCATAGGAGCAAAGTGCACTCAAAACAACCCAAATCAACTTAAACTTAGCTTCAAATTATTTTGTAGACTTCCTTTATCTAGTCAAGTCCATAACTTAAACTTAGCTCCAAATCAACATAAATAAGGAGCGAAGTGCCAAGCTAGATCAGTTGATCGACCAAGCTCATTCGATCGAGTTGATCCCACTAGCCAGAAGCCAGGTAAACTATGTCGATCAACCTAGAAAGAAGTGGATGATAAGCTCATAGGTGTAAAATACCCAAAATATCTCATTACGGACCCCTTCCAAAAAAATGCAAAAAGTTATATCATTATTATAGCATATTTTCTATAAATAGGGGAAACATTTTAAGAAAAAAGCACGATTCATTTATGTTCATCCCTCTCTCTCTCTCTCCTTATTTAGATTGTATTCCTAGCATGTGATTCAACGACAAATCTGGATTCAACATTATATATATATATATATATATATATGTATATA